GGGGACGGGGGTGCGGAGACATCCAGTTAATCGACCTTTGGCCACAGTAGACGCGGAGCGTGCAGGAAGTTCTTCTGAGCGAGCAAGAGCGTCCTCCGTAGCCTACTGGCGACCTCTTCTGCTGTTGCTGGTAGGCGCTGACCCAGTTGCTTAGGTTAATAGGTGGGACCTTATATGTCGTGTGGACTCCAACCAAGCCATTCGTGTGATTTACAAGGTCTCACTTAACTAGCCTAAGCAACTGGGACAGTGCCTACTAACAACAGCAGAAGCGACTGCCATCAGGCTACGAAGGCCGGCCCTGTGCACGCAGAAGAACCTCTTGCACGCACCGCGTCTAGCGTGAGCAAAGATCGATTAACTAAATGCATGTCTCCGCGTCCCCGTCTCTCCCCCTCCCTATGTTACGCGGCTCTACCTAACCCCACTGCCGTCTACTGCCTGTTCCCTCCCCTCCCCTCCCCCCTACTCACAAACCCCGGTTGTGTGAAAAGAAGAGCTATAATCGATTTCTCTTATCGCTCTCGTTCCCGTGTAAATGTACTCACCGAATGACAATTTAGCGAAAGCAGGCGTATGCTCGCTAAATGGCCTTCTGAAATATGGACTTTTCAGGTGGCATTGCAAGGTTAACAGGTTTGGCACCATTGATTTTTGGCTGACCACAGCCTGGGTAACGGGCGTCGAAAATCTACTTAATAAGTCCTGTTTTCCAGAAAAACATATTTGTTGTCAACGTATATTTATGACGGTAGAAGGGCGCTTACCGATAACGCTACGAAATTCGCCCCGTTGTGTCGTGGGGCTCTCTCTCTCAAGTCCCACCAGCAGTCGCACAGCGGAGTGTGATATAGGCAGAATAGCATTACCGACAATGGATAGGGAGACTGGAATGGCCATTCCTGGCTTATTAGCTGTCGTCAGTCAGTCATACCCAACCCCGAAGTGTGGAACACCTGGGGTTCGATCCTGCGACCTATCAGACCGGAGTCGGCCAAGCTAAGATAGCAGAGAGGAGACGACAGAGTCTGGGAAG